ATCAGGAGGTCTGTTCCAAAGTCATCGACCTGTGTTGTGACAGAGGGAGAAAGTGACTGACTAGCTTCTGTCCAGTCCTTTCAGGTCTGTGCAAATACAGGAGAGGAGATAAACAATACAATCAACTTTAGACTATTGGGACGCTTCCTCTGACTATCAGGGACTCTTAGGGCTAGGTGACTAGGGTGTCCTGTAATTCATATAATAATATGCTAGTTAATAAAGTGATATGGTAGGTAATGGAATAATTGATGAGTCTCTGTGTTCTACTGTAAAACAACCTGATCTGATGATACACAGACTGGCAGCGGTGTCTGATCTGTCAAAGAGAAAGAGCGAGAGAGAGAGAGAGAGAGAGAGAGAGAGAGAGAGAGCGAGAGAGAGAGAGAGAGTGACAGAGAGAAAGAGAGAGAGAGAGAGAGAGGAGAGACAGAGAGAGACACAGAGACAGAGAGAGAGAGAGACAGAGAGAGACACAGAGACAGAGACAGAGACAGAGAGACAGAGAGAGACAGACATAGACAGAGAGAGACAGAGAGAGAGAGACACAGAGACAGAGACAGAGAGAGACAGAGAGAGACACAGAGACAGAGACAGAGACAGAGACAGAGAGACAGAGAGAGACAGAGAGAGAGAGAGTGACAGAGAGAAAGAGAGAGAGAGAGAGAGAGAGACAGAGAGAGACAGACAGAGACAGAGAGAGACAGAGAGAGAGAGAGAGACAGAGAGAGAGACAGAGAGACAGAGAGAGACAGAGAGAGAGTGACAGAGAGAAAGAGAGAGAGAGACAGAGAGAGACAGAGAGAGAGAGAGACAGAGAGAGACACAGAGACAGAGACAGAGACAGAGAGACAGAGAGACGTATAGACGGATAGACAGATGTAAAATACAGACAGGAGATAGAGAACGGTATAGAGGGAAAGAGAGGAGGGGCAGTGTAATGTATCTGGTACATTTTTAAAGTAGCAGGAGTAATCAGCTCTACTATGCAACCCGTTTGCAGTGTTCTTAGTTGACACACTGCAGCTCTCACTGTGCTCTGATGACCATGCTGCTAATGATCACATGCAGGAATGCCCCAGCCTCCTCGAAATGTAATGGCTGAATGATCTCTAGACACAACATGGCTGATGATTAACCTGCCTGGTAACACCCAAGCAGCAGTGTGTGTGTGTCTCATTTCAAGTGTGCAAGTCATTGGTCACCATACTCTGGACAAAACAATAGACAGAAGTGCAACAATGGGTGATGATATGTAGTCATATGTAGAAACAGGAGAGCACATCATTTGTGAATAAGATGCTGCCAGACACTATGAGAAACTGATTAAATGTGAGAAACAGCCTATAGATTCATTGCTAGTTAGCCTAAATCGGTCGGTCGGTCGGGTTACCCATGATCCTTCACAGAGACTCACACACTGACCCAATGGACACACACACACAAACATTATATATACAAAAGTATGTGGACACCCTTTCAAATTAGTGGATTCGGCTATTTCAGCCACACTCGTTGCTGACAGGTGTATAAAATCGAGCACAGCCATGCAGTCTCCATAGACAAACATTGGCGCCCGTACTGAAGAGCTCAGTGACTTTCTAATAAGTCAGTTAGTAAAATTTCTGCCCTGCTAGAGCAGTCAACTGTAACTGCTGTTATTGTGAAGTGGAAACATGTAGGAGCAACAACTGCTCAGCCGCGAAGTGGTAGGCCACACAAGCTCACAGAACGGGACTGTCAGGTGTTGCAAAACTTACTACCGAGATCCAAACTGCCTCTAGACACAACGTCAGCACAATAACTGTTCGTCGGGAGCTTCATGAAATGGGTTTCCATGGCAGAGCAGTCGCACACAAGCCTAAGATCATCATGCGCAATGCCAAGCGTCAGCTGGAGTGGTGTAAAGCTCGCCGCCATTGGACTCTGGAGCAGTGGAAACGCGTTCTCTGGAGTGATTAATCACGCTTCACCATCTGGCAGTCCAACGGACGAAACTGGGTTTAGCGGATGCCAGGAGAACGCTACCTGCCCCAATGCATAGTACCAACTGTAAAGTTTGGTGGAGGAGGAATAATGGTCTGGAGCTGTTTTTCATGGTTCGGTCTAGGCACCTTAGTTCCAGTGAAGGGAAATCTTAACACTACAGCATACAATTACATTCTAGACGATTCTGTGATTCCAACTTTGTGGCAACAGTTTGGGGAAGGCCCTTTCCTGTTTCAGCATGACAATGCCCCCGTGCACAAAGTGAGTCCATTCAGAAATGGTCTGTCGAGATCAGTGTGGAAGAACTTGACTTGCCTGCACAGAGCCCTGACCTCAACCCCGTTGAACACCATTGGGATGAATTGAAACGTTGACTGCGAGCCAGGCCTAATCGCCCAACATCAGTGCCCAACCTCACTAATGCTCTTGCGGCTGAATGGAAGCAAGTCCCGGCAGCAATGTTCCAACATCTAGTGGAATGAGATGGACGACGAGCAGGTGTCCTCATACTTTTTGTCATGTAGTGTACAAGCGAGACAACACTCACAGTTACCGGATGGGACAAGGTAGAGTCTGTGTGTGTGTGTGTGTGTGTGTGTGTGTGTGTGTGTGTGTGTGTGTGTGTGTGTGTGTGTGTGTGTGTGTGTGTGTGTGAAACCAAAGTGAACACCACTGCTCATAAACACACCTGCTCCTCACACTCCCCCACATGTCCTCACTTGCTGTGTCGCCTGTGCCAACCAGCGTGTGTGTGTGCCTGTGTGTGTGTGTGTGTGTGTGTGTGTGTGTGTGTGTGTGTGTGTGTGTGTGTGTGTGTGTGTGTGTGTGTGTGTGTGTGTGTGTGGTTAGCCAGGCCCAGTGTTCTGGGTAGTGTTGCTCGTGGAAACACGAAGAACAGCACGCTGGAACATGCTGAGCTCAGGACAAGCATGCCAAGCACTGGGACACACCACACACACACACACACACACACACACACACACACACACACACACACACACACACACACACACACACACACACACACACACACGGCACAGGGAAAAACTATACACTCTGCGTGGCCTGAACAGATCGTAAACTTGGAACAATGAGCAAGAATACACACGCAGATACACAGAGTCATACCCGTCATTATCAATATGGGAAACATACAGCGGATTTCAGTTCATTCCAATGGTATTTGTCCAGAGACAAAGTGGAACTTTATTCACCAGCCAGACAGACTGCCACAGACACAAAGTTGATCTGTGTTAGTAACTGAGGAGAATCATCTCTCGTCTCCAAATACTTCATCCTCAATACCCTGTTATTACCCTATTCTACCCTGCTGGAACCAAACACCTCATCATCATTACCCTGCTATTACCCTACTCTACCCTGCTGGAACCAAACACGTCATCATCATTACCCTGCTATTACCCTATTCTACCCTGCTGGAACCAAACACTTCATCATCGTTACCCTGCTATTACCCTATTCTACCCTGCTGGAACCAAACACTTCATCATCATTACCCTATTCTACCCTGCTGGAACCAAACACGTCATCATCATTACCCTGTTATTACCCTATTCTACCCTGCTGGAACCAAACACTTCATCATCATTATCCTATTCTACCTTGCTGGAACCAAACACGTCATCATCATTACCCTAATATTACCCTATTCTACCCCGCTGGAACCAAACACTTCATAATCATTACCCTGCTATTACCTTATTCTACCCTGCTGGAACCAAACACTTCATCATCATTACCCTGCTATTACCCTATTCTACCCTGCTGGAACCAAACACTTCAACGTCATTACCCTGCTATTACCCTATTCTACCCTGCTGGAACCAAACACTTCATCATCATTACCCTGCTATTACCCTATTCTACCCTGCTGGAACCAAACACTTCATCATCATTACCCTGTTATTACCCTATTCTACCTTGCTGGAACCAAACACTTCATCATCATTACCCTGCTATTACCCTATTCTACCCTGCTGGAACCAAACACTTCAACGTCATTACCCTGCTATTACCCTATTCTACCCTGCTGGAACCAAACACTTCATCATCATTACCCTGCTATTACCCTATTCTACCCTGCTGGAACCAAACACTTCATCATCATTACCCTGTTATTACCCTATTCTACCCTGCTGGAACCAAACACTTCATCATCATTACCCTATTCTACCCTGCTGGAACCAAACACTTCATCATCATTACCTTGCTATTACCCTATTCTACCCTGCTGGAACCAAACACTTCATCATCATTACCCTGCTATTACCCTATTCTACCCTGCTGGAACCAAACACTTCATCATCATTACCCTGCTATTACCCTATTCTACCCTGCTGGAACCAAACACTTCATCATCATTACCCTGTTATTACCCTATTCTACCCTGCTGGAACCAAACACTTCAACATCATTACCCTGCTATTACCCTATTCTACCCTGCTGGAACCAAACACTTCATCATCATTACCCTGTTATTACCCTATTCTACCCTGCTGGAACCAAACACTTCAACATCATTACCCTGCTATTACCCTATTCTACCCTGCTGGAACCAAACACTTCATCATCATTACCCTATTCTACCCTGCTGGAACCAAACACTTCATCATCATTACCCTATTCTACCCTGCTGGAACCAAACACTTCATCATCATTACCCTGCTATTACCCTATTCTACCCTGCTGGAACCAAACACTTCATCATCATTATCCTGCTATTACCCCATTCTACCCTGCTGGAACCAAACACTTCATCATCATTACCCTGTTATTACCCTATTCTACCCTGCTGGAACCAAACACTTCATCATCATTACCCTATTCTACCCTGCTAGAACCAAACACTTCATCATTATTACCTTGTTATTACCCTATTCTACCCTGCTGGAACCAAACACTTCATCATTATTACCTTGTTATTACCCTATTCTACCCTGCTAGAACCAAACACTTCATCATCATTACCCTGTTATTACCCTATTCTACCCTCCCTGAACCAAACACTCTGCTTTCTCTTCCTTCCTTCCCATTGTTGCTACCTCACTACTCTCCTCTCTCTTCTCTCCTTTCTTCCCTCTCTCCGCCCTGGTGATGAACAGATCACGGTCATTGTCCAGGACCAGTCAGACAGAGAAGGTATATGACCATTTCTCTCCTAGCAGCCATTGCAACAGTGCAGTCAGTCAGCCATGTTGTGATTTATGACTGGGATTTTAAATCTCTAACACATGACCAGTTGTAGCCTAATGGAGACCTCAAAATACAGATGTGTGTGTGTGTGCGTGTGTGTGTGTGTGTGTGTCTGTGTGTGTATTTGTATTTATTAAGGATCCACATTACTTCCTGCCCAGGCAGCAGCTACTCTTCCTGTGGTCCAAACAAGATTAAGGCAATTACATACAAAATAAAAGAGTACAAGACATCATACAAGACATTATTACACACTACTCTACCACTACATATCTACAATACAACACATTATTACACAATACTCTACCACTACATATCTACAATACAACACATTATTACACACTACTCTACCACTACATATCTACAATACAACACATTATTACACCAGTACATATCTACAATACAACAAATTTTTACACAATACTCTACCACTACTTATCTACAATACAACACATTATTACACCACTACATATCTACAATACAACACATTTTTACACAATACTCTACCACTACATATCTACAATACAACATATTATTACACAATACTCTACCACTACATATCTACAATACAACACATTATTACACACTACTCTACTCTACCACTACATATCTACAATACAAAATGTATAATACCACAATATTACAACATTACAATGTGTGTGTGTGTGTGTGTGTGTGTGTGTGTGTGTGTGTGTTTATGTGTCTTTTTAGCCACACCCAGAAACAAAATCACAAGCTTATAGTTACCAGAAACTACACCCCCTCCCTCTCTCCCACCCCCTTCCTCCATCCCTCTCTCCCACCCCATCCCCTCCCTCTCTCCCACCCCCTTCCCCACCCCCTCCCTCTCTCCCACCACCTTCCCCATCCCGTCCCTCCCTCTCTCCCACCACCTTCCCCATCCCGTCCCTCCCTCTCTCCCACCACCTTCCCCACCCCCTCCCTCCATCCCTCTCTCCCACCCCCACCCTCCCTCCCTCCCTCTCTCCCACCACCTTCCCCACCCTCTCCAATGACATCCATATCCACAAACTGTATATTTGTGTTGGAGTGAGTCACATTCAATTAGTCAATTCCACAGGCCTATTGTACCAGTCTAGGCTTTATAAACTGTATTTCCTGGTTGTTACTGTAGCTGGTTGTCTAGGTCAGTGATCAGTCACATGTGCTGTAGTGGAAGTCAGTCCACTTCCTCCTCCCAGGTCACATGATGCTTCATTCACTTTACTACAATTGTAAGGCCCAGATAGAGATAAGAAATGTTACTTTCAGTTCCACTCTCCAGCAAAGTCGGCAATCAACAACACACACCCCACACACACACTTCACAGAGTCGGTGGTTTCACCACCTCCCATTCAGAAAGTCCCCCAGCTCACACCCTCAGAGGTGCAGTGTGACCTCTGTCTAGGCTCTACCACAACACACAGCCAGATAGTTAGCTCTGTGTCTGCAGCCTAGCTGGCCCCTGCTGCTATGAAAGAGTCCATTTGGAACAGCCGGAGCCTGGCTTCCTGTCAGAATGTGTTGCGGTGGCACTGTTTGTATGGGCAGATAGTGTGTGGAGAGGGATTCTGCGGATGGGAGAGCCGAGCAGACACAACAAACGGCCAAACCTAAACATGACTGAGCACAGGCCAGCCTCTGAGGACCGCTGGGTCAGGATGGATAGGAAGGGCGAGAGCGGAGAGGGGTGCAGGGAAGGGCGGGGGGAAGAGACAGCCAGGGAGGGGCAGGGGGAGGGTAGGGAGAGGTAGGGGCAGGGGGAGCAGAGTGGAGGGTAAGGAGGGGCAGGGGGAGTAGAGTGGAGGGTAGGGTGGGGCAGGGGGAGTAGAGAGGAGGGTAGGGTGGGGCAGGGGGAGTAGAGAGGAGGGTAGGGTGGGGCAGGGGGAGTAGAGAGGAGGGTAGGGTGGGGCAGGGGGAGTAGAGAGGAGGGTAGGGTGGGGCAGGGGGAGTAGAGAGGAGGGTAGGGTGGGGCAGGGGGAGTAGAGAGGAGGGTAGGGTGGGGCAGGGGGAGTAGAGAGGAGGGTAGGGTGGGGCAGGGGGAGTAGAGAGGAGGGTAGGGTGGGGCAGGGGGAGTAGAGAGGAGGGTAGGGTGGGGCAGGGGGAGTAGAGAGGAGGGTAGGGTGGGGCAGGGGGAGTAGAGAGGAGGGTAGGGTGGGGCAGGGGGAGTAGGTTGGAGGGTAAGCTGTTCCTAGATCTGTAGAAAGGCTACTTCGGTCCTAAGCTTCTCACTGAGTAGTAGGCTCCTAACTCCACCACGTCTAGGCTAAGTCTCACTTTAACTACAGGCACAAGGCTTGTCCCTAAGCCCCTTACATCAGTAACAGGCTCAGAGAACTGAAGTCAGTAAAGGGGCTGCTTCACGCCCATTAGTCCTTGTGTTGTCAAACAGAGGATGCTTCATTAGTATTCCGTCCAATAAACACATGACTCATTTGAAGCCTGTTATACTCTCTGAAAAAAGATTGTGTACAAACACACACACATCAAATCTGTGTCTGTGCAAAGATGAACATTTGTTTATGTTGTGCAAGGGAACGGGCACGTCACTCCTCTAGCTTTGCAATAGCTGCTGAAAAAATAATAAAAAGCTAAAGTTAGGCTAAATCTCCGCCTTTCACAACATTATGCAAAAAGAGCCAGGGGGTGCTGCATGCCGCTACTGTGGCCAGTCGATATGTAATTGGTAATCAATCTCCAGCTGGAATAAGCTCATAGGTAGAATGTGTTGATGCTAGGGTAAATACAATTTAGAATTAGCTAAAAAAAAGACGTTAAAGCTAAAGATAATATTTTATAGTATACTCTGGAACAGTGATCTCATTATACTGAGGATAAACATTTTATGTGAATTCATGAGCATAGAATAGAGAAATCCCTCCTGCTTGAGGACAAGAGGTTAGCGTACATTAGAACACTACATGCAAACACGTAGCTAAGTATCTTACCATATATGTTAAAGGTAGTATTATATTGATGTGTATCGTACTGTAGAGCATAGACATGGTTAATGTTCAGTACAGTTGCTCAGGACCTGATTTACACCGGTTCCCTTTATGGAGCTTTTGCTGTATCCATCAGGTCCGTCAATCACTAGAAAGTGTGTCAGTCGGAGGAAATACTGGAGCAAAGTGGATTAAGTCTCTATAACTAAGTCACACATACAGGCTCCAGTGGGTTGGCAATGGCTGCAGCCTGCCATGCAGTATACCACACACACACCAATCTGTTCTGTATTGAGACTGAGGTTCATTATTCCATGTCTATGGATATGAAATTCCCCCCTACTGATATGATAAAGGCTACTGTACACAAATACAAGTGTACGACCCAGGTTCACCTATATCTGCGTGAATATTGACTTACTAAATTAAAAAGTCATTTCAGGTGACACACATATAGGCTAAAAAAGGTTGGAGGGTAGACGTATTGTTTCTACACAGCTAATAGATGGTTGGAGGGTAGACGTATTGTTTCTGCACAGCTACAGTGGGGGAAAAAAGTATTTAGTCAGCCACCAATTGTGCAAGTTCTCCCACTTAAAAAGATGAGAGAGGCCTGTAATTTTCATCATAGGTACACGTCAACTATGACAGACAAATTGTAGGATTTTTTATGAATTTATTTGCAAATTATGGTGGAAAATAAGTATTTGGTCACCTACAAACAAGCAAGATTTCTGGCTCTCACAGACCTGTAACTTCTTCTTTAAGAGGCTCCTCTGTCCTCCACTCGTTACCTGTATTAAAGGCACCTGTTTGAACTTGTTATCAGTATAAAAGATACCTGTCCACAACCTCAAACAGTCACACTCCAAACTCCACTATGGCCAAGACCAAAGAGCTGTCAAAGGACACCAGAAACAAAATTGTAGACCTGCACCAGGCTGGGAAGACTGAATCTGCAATAGGTAAGCAGCTTGGTTTGAAGAAATCAACTGTGGGAGCAATTATTAGGAAATGGAAGACATACAAGACCACTGATAATCTCCCTCGATCTGAGGCTCCACGCAAGATCTCACCCCGTGGGGTCAAAATGATCACAAGAACGGTGAGCAAAAATCCCAGAACCACACGGGGGGACCTAGTGAATGACCTGCAGAGAGCTGGGACCAAAGTAACAAAGCCTACCATCAGTAACACACTACGCCGCCAGGGACTCAAATCCTGCAGTGCCAGACGTGTCCCCCTGCTTAAGCCAGTACATGTCCAGGCCCATCTGAAGTTTGCTAGAGTGCATTTGGATGATCCAGAAGAGGATTGGGAGAATGTCATATGGTCAGATGAAACCAAAATAGAACTTTTGGTAAAAACTCAACTCGTCGTGTTTGGAGGACAAAGAATGCTGAGTTGCATCCAAAGAACACCATACCTACTGTGAAGCATGGGGGTGGAAACATCATGCTTTGGAGCTGTTTTTCTGCAAAGGGACCAGGACGACTGATCCGTGTAAAGGAAAGAATGAATGGGGCCATGTATCGTGAGATTTTGAGTGAAAACCTCCTTCCATCAGCAAGGGCATTGAAGATGAAACATGGCTGGATCTTTCAGCATGACAATGATCCCAAACACACCGCCCGGGCAACGAAGGAGTGGCTTCGTAAGAAGCATTTCAAGGTCCTGGAGTGGCCTAGCCAGTCTCCAGATCTCAACACCATAGAAAATCTTTGGAGGGAGTTGAAAGTCCGTGTTGCCCAGCGACAGCCCCAAAACATCACTGCTCTAGAGGAGATCTGCATGGAGGAATGGGCCAAAATACCAGCAACAGTGTGTGAAAACCTTGTGAAGACTTAAAGAAAACATTTGACCTGTGTCATTGCCAACAAAGGGTATATAACAAAGTATTGAGAAACTTTTGTTATTGACCAAATACTTATTTTCCACCATAATTTGCAAATAAATTCATTAAAAATCCTACAATGTGATTTTCTTGATTTTTTTTTCTCATTTTGTCTGTCATAGTTGACGTGTACCTATGGTGAAAATTACAGGCCTCTCTCATCTTTTTAAGTGGGAGAACTTGCACAATTGGTGGCTGACTAAATACTTTTTTCCCCCACTGTAATAGATGGTTGGAGGGTAGACGTATTGTTTCTGCACAGCTAATAGATGGTTGGAGGGTAGACATATTGTTTCTGCACAGCTACTAGATGGTTGGAGGGTAGACGTATTGTTTCTGCACAGCTAATAGATGTCATCAGGTCTCGATTGTATCACTCTTACAGTTTTGTATTTTCAATCACAAAAGCTGCAGGTAAAACACCATATTCTCCAGCTTAAATAAACAGTGTTGTATGAATACACTGTAATGTAAGCATCAGGCCATGCACCCCAATAAAAACGTATATCTGATACCAATCATTGCATTCACACAGCAGCATTGACACTAAAATGTCCACTAGTGTGGTGTGGCCAACTGACATGAGAGAATCTGGACAGACACAGGGATGGGCTTCTGCTCAGCTCCAAACTGATCAACATGTCAAAAAATCCCCATCTATGGTGTGTTCCAGAACGCAGATGTTGCTAGAAACTGCCATGCCATGCAGCTCAATACAAAGGCCTATGTGCCACTGAGTGGGCAGTGTGGTGCTTACAAAATCATAACAAGTGTTCTATAATATTCAGGCACTGTTGCAAGTCTGACTGACTGACAATGTTATGCTTGTGATTTTGTTTACACTATTGCTTTATACATGTAATACAGTTAGAGCAACTCATAATGATGTAACATAGTCAGACAAATTGAGACAACTGCAGCAGCAGGGATTGGCTGTCCTTTTCTGTGAAATATCCATTTTTCACAGAAACACAACATGGTGTTTGTGGCACACATTATGTAAAATCCGTTCACGTGTATCCACCACTATGCAGTCCACATATCACCGACATATTATTCGAATCCATCAAGCAACTTCCCACCTTTCCATTCCATGATCACCAACGTTCTGATCGAACGCAGCCGTGCTGGCTGAACCGAACCTGGCTGATGCTGCTGCAAGCATGCCTCTGTTTACTGAGACCCCGACTACGCAACATGGCCGACATGTGCTTTGTTATTGTTGCTACAATATCATAATGATCGTTTTCTAAGTAATTAATTAACTAAGAGAAGTACTACTATACTACTATAGACACTGTTAGTAATACTATTGTAATAAATAACACCATCATATTAAAAAAGGATTAGGTGAAGAGTAGAGTGCATTCAAATACGGAGCCCATACTTACCATTTGATGATGGTGACCGTATGGAATATTCGTTTCTTGAAAAAAGGCACTGAGGGCAGTCTAAAACAAAAATATAATATAATTCGATCAATAACATTTAGCCTCTAATACATAGAACACAGAACATGTATTTTAAAAATAAATCGTTTTTTAGAAATGTATGTCATTACAGTTTGTGTTTACAAAAACATTCAGCACATAAACAATGGAGCTGAATCAAATGTGATGTGAAAAATCTATTTCACTATTCTGTGCAGACTAAACAATCATGAGCTGTCAAAACAAACGAACGGTTGTCTTGATTGCATGATTGCATTTTCTAGCCTCGCCTTGCCGCTGCATGGGAACAGGATTATAGCTACTAGTATATTTAATCTCTAGAGTAAATTCTAATTTGATATTGACTGGGTAAGCTTTTCCCATTCCAGCCTTACTTAATGGATACTACGGATATTTATAAAGTACATAAATGCAATAGAACAATTCGATCAAATACAAAAAAATACATGTTAGAAGTTGAGTTTAATTGTTGATACTGATCTTTCTCTTCGAATGTTCTTGTGCAACATCACATTTCGGCCATGACCAACAATAATGAACATCGCAGCCCGGTCAAAACTAAATGTACTGTCTGTCACATCCGCAGTCAGACATAAACAGTAGCAAGCCATCTCGCTATTGATCGTAGCTAACCCCGTACCTCAAATTGCCAATGTGCTGCTTGCAAAAGCTGCTTTGCCTGATCTGCCGCACAACCCGCTGTCAAGACGAACTGGTTTATCATTACTTGGTGTTTGAGTTCATCCATTTTGCACCGAAGCTTTATTCCTACTCGCGTCTCGTAGTGTTATGTCTGGACTTCGATATTCGTGGTTTTATTCCTCTCTTTTCAGTCTCAGTCGTTAAACCATCACAGCCGGTTGAGAAAACACAAATATTTACTGTAGGAGCAGTAGTGCCCCCTTGAGTGACGCCAGCCGTCAGCCAATGAAGAGAGAGCAGTGCAAATGGGATTTGTATGCCGCAAAAGTCCTGCCATAACCAGGGCGCCTTGATTAGTTATTCCATGCTCTCGAATCACAACACAGGAATTGTCAGTACATTGCAAAAAATGATATGGAAAAGTTTATAATTTAGACAGTTCACATGTTAGTGAAAATATAAGATAGTAACGTCAAATATGAGAGGATCATGTGCCCAAAAATAAGGATTTCTTCTACTTGTTTGTTTTGGACTACAAGTCCCTTGAGTCAACGCGTTGTTTGTAAAGTTCTAGGGGGCTGAATTTTGTGACTGACGGCCGGCCCTGTCCAATTTCCATGCGCGCTGTGTAACTATCTTGCCAAATATGGTAAACAAATCTTCCACAATTACGTTAGGGACAGTCTATTCACGGTGTATTTAATATAGCCCAAAAAAATGTTTTAAAGCGTAATGTCTGCGCATTTCTTTAGTGAGGTGACTGAGGTCAATATTGCAGTCAAAACCATGCAGCACAACCTAGATTGCCTATATGTATTCAATAAATAATTTATTACATGTTTATAAATTACTTGTTAAATGCTGTCATTTAAAAATAATATCTCAGTGTTTTGTAGGATGAATACGTTGTAATATATTTATAATATGTGTATATGTTTCAAACGGTCTACTACTCTATTACTGTACCTGTAGCCTCGTTGAGAACCAGGCTTCTCCAAGCGAGGCGTGACAACGACGTGATTTCGGAGGTATGGCAACGCGAGACTACTGTATGTGTGACTTGATCTCACTCTGCTCGTGCAGACTTGAGATTCTGCAATCATTTTCTCTCTTTGACCATCCACCCTATGTACTTAGCCTCTAGTTGGCAGACTGTTTTTTATCGCCATTAGCTCTTATAAGAAAGACAATGTTTCATTTAATGGCCCCAAGGAGACCCCTATTAACAACAGGCCCCAATGCCTAAATTGTATTGAAGTGGATGCAGGGTGAAAGGAAAATAACACTGCAGCCACAGGAGTAGACCAGGGTTCCCTAACTGGCGGCCAGCGGGCCTGATTTTATTTTTCCCCAAAAGTTTTCTGAGCACAAAAAAATATATATATACGCTACCAGTCACAAGTTTGGACACACCTACTCATTCAAGGGTTCTTCTTTATTTTTACTATATTTTACATTGTAGAATAATAGTGAAGACCTCAAAACTATGAAATAACACATATGGAATCATGTAGTAACCAAAAAAGTGTTAAACAAATCAAAATATATGTTATATTTGAGATTCTTCAAATAGCCATCCTTTGGAGGAGGGGGGGGGGGGGGGGGGGGTATACAGAAGATAGCCCTATTTGGTAAAAGACCAAGTCCATATTATGGCAAAAACAGCTCAAATAAGCAAAGAGAAACGACAGTCCATCAATAGTTTAAGACATGAAGATCAGTCAATATGGAAAATGTTGAAAGTTTCTTCAAGTGCAGTAGCAAAAACTGGCTCTCATGAGGACCACCACAGGAATGGAAGACCCAGAGTTTCCTCTGCTGCAGAGGATAAGTTCATTAGAGTTACCAGCCTCAGAAATTGCAGCCCAAATATATGCTTCGCAGAGTTCAAGTAACAGACACATCTCAACATCAACTGTTCAGAGGAGACTGTGTGAATCAGGCCTTCATGGTCGAATTGCTGCAAAGAAACCACTACTAAAGGACACCAATAATAATAAGAGAATTGCCTGGGCCAAGAAACACGAGCAATGGACATTAGACCGGTGGAAATTTGTCCTTTGGTCTGGTAAACAAATTTGAGATTTTTGGTTCCAACCGCCATAGTTTTGTGAGACGCGGTGTGGTGAACGGATGGTCTCTGCATGTGTATTTCCCACCGTGGAGGAGGAGGTGTTATGGTGTGGGGGTGCTTTGCTGGTGACACTGTCTGTGATTTATTTAGAATTCAAGGCACACTTAACCAGCATGGCTACCATAGCATTCTGCAGCGATACGCCATCCCATCTAGTTTGGGCTTAGTGGGACTATCATTTGTTTTTCAACAGGACAATGACCCAACACACCTCCAGGCTGTGTAAGGGCTATTTTACCAAGAAGGAGAGTGATGGAGTGCTGCATCAGATGACCTGGCCTCCACAATCCCCCGACCTCAACCAAATTGAGATGGTTTGGGATGAGTTGGATCGCATAGTGAAGGAAAAGCCGCCATCAAGTGCTCAGTATATGTGGGAACTCCTTCAAGACTGTTGGAAAAACATAAAAGACTGTAAAAACACCAGCAAATCAGCTCCAAGTGATTTTAATTTTGGAAATCTGTTCCAAAGTATTCCCATGCATAATAGAGAGATACACAGTATGTGACCGTATACAAATGTCAGCTAGGTTTGAAATTATTCTGTTTTAGTCAAATATTGTATCCAAATGGTGAAATGTTCCTTTTGAACAGTGCATTAGATCAATATAATATAGCTATCCTCAGGGCGCAGCCAAACCCCAAAATTCTAGTTTTGGACTCTCTATGAATATGGTCAATGTTGTCGCTTTTAGTACTATAATCCCCTTTTTCTTTAATCTGATTACCTTTAAGGACACCCTTTATGACATCATAGCTAGACCATATACCGTGGCCTGATTTCAGTGTCCTCAAAGAAAGTGGGCTAGACGTCATGCAGGACAGGTGCATAATGAAAGATTACAAGACATCCCCTATTACAACAGACCCCCGTCCGTAGACGTACTGTATGCCATAGGCCTCTCTTGACAAACACTGCTGTTGCCTCTCACAACCATAAGAACAGCTGGTCAAACATTTACCCTGTTTCGCCAGGGCCCTTTGTGATTGACCAGAAACGAACCTGGAAGCATCCCACTGGGCACACACTGGTTGAATCAACGTTGTTTCCACGTCATTTCAATGAAATTACGTTGAACCAACGTGGAGTAGACGTTGAATTGACGTCTGTGCCCAGTGGGATTTTGAAACCATGTGGTGCCTCCTTCCTTCCATGACAGATAGCAGCCTGCGACAGCTGGACTGGCTTATCTCTGTTTTTACATGCAGTCATTCATGCTCCACCATCCTAAAACGACCCACTTCTCCTTTGTCCCAGCATTCACAGCTCTACTTTGCCAAAGGCAACAGGCAACTAGGCCTACTGTTTGTGAACCCCCTCTGCTACAAGTGCATGGACTGGTTGAATCAACGTTGTTCCCACGTCATTTCAATGACCAAAGGCTCTTTAGTATACCCACTATTAATAGTGTAATGATTGAGAGACTGCAGTATTTTCCCACCACTGCCACCAATGTAACAACTGAGGGGGAACAGCCAGCTCGGCGCTCCAACCATCAACCCTCCAGTTACAGGGCAAGCACCATAGATCTCAACATCAACCTATTAAATTACTAGAGGGACTATATCATGAACCCTCAAAGTTCCAGAATGGGGTGAAAAAAGCAGCCATATTGGTCAGGGAGAAATCCAAAGCAGTCTAATTAGAATGAATGGCAGTAGAGGCATAATCCTGATTGTACTTATGCAGGAAATTAAAAGTTGCTTAAGTCATGTAATATGTCAGAAATTGAGTAAGAAAATGTTTGTCAACCTAAAATATTGTCATATAATTATAAATACAGTTTGTACAGGTTTTATACCAATTTTCTGTATAAATAGCCTCTAAAATATATAAATGTAAAACAAACTATAAAACAATGGGGGAAAGCTGTGAGTGCTATTATATGAAACAATATCAGTACTTGTTGCATTTACAACTTGTCTAAATTCTATCATCAACTGATTTCAGCCAGTGAATGGCTGTGGATTGACTGCATTGTTTGAATGGAATGTTGGCATATTGGCAGTTAATTCGAAAAATGTATGGGGGGGGATGGGTGCAGAAAAAATGTATTGCCGGTGCTGAAGGCATCTACATTGGTCCACTAATACAGGACTAGTAAAGGCCCAGTGCACTACTTGAGTGATTTTTTAAACCTAAATGTATTTGAGTGTTTACAAGCATTTGTAACTTGAGTCTGATAATTATCTGTACAAAACAGTTAATCTGATAATACTTGTGGAATATAAAAATACTTGCTTGATATATGTTTTCCAGTTTCTTGAAATTCTTTGCAAATGCAACTTATTTCTATGTGAAAACTGAAATGGTCTATTCATTCCTTTTCAGTGGAAGCTCTTATCCAGAGCAACTTGCAGTAGTGAGTGCATACATTTTTATACTGGTCCCCCATGGGAATCAAACCCACAACCCTAGCATTGCAAGCACCATGCTCTACCAACTGAGCCACATCATCACATCACATCATCACAAACCACTTGATGTCTCAGTGTATTCAATTACTGTATTGTGCATTGTTTTCCTTCATGGCGATGGAAAGGTTTGTAAGAATGGTAAATTAATATTGCACAAAAAGTGATTGTTTTCCATGTTATTTGATCAAGTAAACTATATAATTTGATGTGGATGTTTTGTGTCTTTGCCCATAACTTTGCACCTTTTGATGTAAATGTTTGAGGACAGACAGGGTTTTGTTCTTTCTGGATTCCATTAGAATGACAATCGCAGCGAAAGGGACAGGGCAACAACTCTTACAATTCCAACTATTGAATCCTGCAAGATATTGTTCTTAATTATACAACTACCTTTCTTGCCAAAGCAGAGATGCCCGCTATATCAGTCCACTAATACTAGTAAAGGCCCAGTGCACTACTGTTGTAAGAAAAATAGATATATAATTAATATTAATATATTAATACCCTCAGCATCCCTATGGCTATGGAGCAACTACAACAGAGGTTAAATGAGGCCTGTGAAAGGGAAAATATTTATTGTAACAAGTCCAGTGATAAAGAAAGGGAAACCGCCAGAGAGAGTACACATGGTCCAGGGTCGAGCAGCATTTTCACAGGGTTACAGGGTTGCAGGACAGGTCACTGTGCATTAGGGAGAGTGAGGTCAGGTCAGATTAGGATCCTTAATCTCTGCGAACCTCTAGAAAATGTCTGATCTATCGCTGGCTCCAGTCTGGGGCCATTTGTTTGAAGGTGCTGAAACCACCATGGGGAGCATCTCAATGTCTAATGTGGTTTCCTCTGCTCATGCCCTATCCTTCATTTGCATTGATCTACATGCACCTACTTACTGGGAATTTACTTTCACCTGTCCAGTTTTGTCATATCAGTACAAATTGATTCAGCTCTCTAGGTACAGGTGTAGGATCTTGATATGATCACCCTAATTGGGCACTTAACCCTAATTGCTCCTGTAAATCGCTCTGGATAAGAGTGTCTGCTAAATGACTAAAATTTATTTGAGGTTTAAAAAGGCTTCTGAAGTGTGTAATTTTCACTTAGAAATTTCAGACTTGATTTTCTCTTACGTTTTTTTTTTCAATCACTACAAAATGTCCATCAATTATAATCCACATAATAATTCACATTTCCTGTTGCTGAAGGATTATTTTCCTGCTGTAGCAAACTGGCTCAAATTAAGATAATCTGACGATAGGTCTCAGCTGCAGTACAATATATCTCCACACAGTGGCAGTGCATCCCTATGAGAGGAGCTGAGATAGTTTTCCAGAGGCAACAAATGGAAGCAGGGTTTTTTTGTCATTTATAAACTGGATTGTAGTAAAGGGAAAAACTGGATGTCCATAGGGATTATACAAGATCCCTCAAAATTGCAATAATTTGTTGGAGTAGGTTAACTTGTTAGGACATCCCCCAATATTAGGCTAATTCCCTAGTAGTGAAGTTGTGCAACTTGAATCATTTTGTATTATATTCCATTATAATTGGAGACAAATTAAATATAAATTACATTATGTAAAATAAAATAATTCAGATACCATAATATGTTATAGTAGACCTAGGCCTACTGTAGCCTATGATGCTATTGTGTAGGAATTCCTTCTCATATTTCCCTCTCTGCAGTTGGATGGTGCTATTTGATAGCCTGTAGTTAATAAGGGGTTAGCTAAATGTTGACAAAAGGCATGGAATGCTGAGGGTAAAGTGTAGCACACGCGCGGGACTTGTGGCGCGACATTTCAGCGCTCCGTGGGGGCATTGTCGCGCCATATCGCTCTCAACAGGTCTTGGATCAGGATTGGGGTCGGGACAACCATAGCCTTTAGGAAAGAAGAACGAGATGTTGATTTTGTGATTATCCTTGTATTCCGCATTGTAACCTTAACATAGGCTAGCCTAATGTGGGTAAAATGATATGTTACATTAATTCCTGGTTGAATGCAGTTGAGCGCGCTCCTCATATCCCCATGCACATCAGCTTTGTCTGACTAGACAAGTGAAACCTGGAGAGCAGGCAACCAATCAGAGACCTCTAAGACGTTTAAAGGGCTCGTGGGCAGTCTCTCCACCTTTATTATGAGCATCCAAGAACCTTCCAGCACCCAGACCTTTTCATTTATCATTCTGGAAAGCAACTGGCCGGGATTGAAATAATATGGATTATGCAAATACGACCAAAATTGATTAAAAAATCTGCTACATTTCTATATAAACTGCTGGATCCTACTTAGGTGAGCCCTCCCCCTCTGCACTTGTTGCGCAGAAGATAGATGCTGCTTCTCCGGAGTCCTAGGAGAATAGAGCACAGGGACCGACCGATCAACCGACCACTGCAACAGGTGTCCTCTGTTCCCGAGCATCATCGCTGACCTGTTTGAGGTAAGGATATATAGGCTATCTACTGTGTTATAATCACTTGTTTTAATTTCAATGTTTTGACTCGTTGGCATGGTGAGACAAATAGGCTTTTTTATATAGCGTGTTTTTAATAGGCTACTGTAATGGCGGTAGTGACTAAAATTATATTTTTTATTGTGGTTTTGGTTGATTTCAATATATGTTTTGTTGCAGGACATCTCATTGAACAGTCTGACAACATTTCCACATCTTTGCGATTGACCGTCTCGTGCGTCACGCTCAAAATGCCCGTCCTGATGAGTCCAGAGATCGCCTCCAAGTTTAAGGAGAAATGGCTGAACCTCCAGCCGGAGCTTCTGGACACCGCAGCCGGCTCAGTGCACCTGGACGACAGCCTGACCAGCCTCCACTGGCTGCAGAACTTCTCCATCCTCAGCGCTAACCAGGAAAGACCCACCTGCACTGGCTCCGGTTGCCCCTCACATCATTTTCTTTCCTACCACCCGCGCCTGTACCCCCGGGGAACCGATTCCCCGTCTAGTCCTCCAGCGGGGGACACCGCCGCTACCGGGATGCCTCTCTGCCTCGGGAGCCCCGTTACCTCTGGCAGTAACTCCACCGACGTGCGTTTGGTGAATTACGCACACCACCAAACCACAACCTACCCTCACCATGACCACCACATCAAGGCGCAGATCATCCCACCGGAGGAGATTGACTTTAAAACGAACCCCAAAGTCAAACCGCCTTATTCCTACGCCTCTCTCATCTGTATGGCCATGCAGGCCAGCAACAAGCCCAAGGTGACTCTGTCCACCATCTATAACTGGATCACAGACAACTTCTGCTACTACAGACACGCAGAACCCAGCTGGCAGGTAAATGACCCGGCTCTCCTCTGTCGCTCTATTATTTATGAGCTAAATGGCGACAGGGAGAGAAGAGAGAAGAGAGAAGAGAGAAGAGAGAGAGAGACACAGACAAGGGGGAGAAGAAGGGTTGCAGCATGCATACTAAACCTGTTGTTTTGTTGTAAGAATATTAATACACTTATAAAAAATATATTTCAAACACATTTATCCTGTTATTTATTATAACCATCCAGTCTAACAGTAACTTATACTGTATTTTATTAGATCCTAGTGATATTCATTTTGATTCACATTTTAATTTACATTTATAATTTAAAAAACCAAGATGTCTCAAATAAGAGTACATCTCTGCTATTTCTACCCTCCGAGAGATCTTTGTCAGGCTTCTATCTCAGGGGTCAGACACAAGTGCTCTACCGCTCTAGGGAGGGGGTTGTGTGTGTGGGTGTGTTTGTGTGTGTGTGTTAATGAGGATCCCTGTGAGATCTCCCTTGGCAGCCAAGCACGGTTGATCATGTTTGAAATGCATAGAGCTCTACACTAGAAAGCCTCATTAGGTACATTTCCTAAACAAACAACAACAATAACTCCTCCTCCCCCTTAGATGCCTCTCTGTCTCTCTTTCGCTCTATTTGACACACACACACACACACACACCCACACACATTATATCAAATTATATATATCACATTCAACATGGATTTAACACATTTGTTTCTTCTCCCCTTCTCCCCTCCCCCTCCCCTTCTCCCCCTCCCCTTCTCCCCTCCCCTTCTCCCCTCCCCTTCTCCCCTTCTCCCCTCCCCTTCTCCCCTCCCCTTCTCCCTCCCCTTCTCCCTCTCCCCCTCCTCCCCTCCCCTTCTCCCCCTCCCCCTCCCCCTCCCCTTCTCCCCTCCCCCCTTCTCCCCCTCCCCTTCTCCCTCCACCACCCCCCTCCCCTTCTCCCCCTCCCCTCCCCTTCTACCCTCCCCTCCCCCCTCCACTTCTCCCCTGCCCTTCTCCCCTCCCCCTCACCTTCTCCCCTCCCCTTCTCTCTCCCCTTAACAGAACTCTATCCGCCATAACCTCTCGCTCAACAAGTGCTTCATGAAGGTGCCGCGGCAGAAGGATGAACCAGGGAAAGGAGGCTTCTGGCAGATCGACCCTCAGTACGCTGACATGTTCGTTAACGGAGTCTTCAAGAGAAGGAGAATGTCCTCCAACCTTTACAACACCAACAGGCAGAGCAAGGTCCTACACAACCAGGAAACTGGCTACCACAGAGGCACTCAGGGGAGCCAAGATAGCTACCACTACCTAGGAGTTGGAGCCGGCAGCAAGCGTAAACAACCTTCTCCAAGGCAACACGGCAAGATGGCGCAGACGCCCAAATCCCCACTGTTAGCCACGGAGGCCCACAGCGCAGATATAGTTCTGAGGGGAGATTTTGACCTGGCGTCTGTGTTTGACGACGTCCTCAGTGGAAACAGCAGTACGTTCGAAGACCTGGACATCAACACTGCTCTGAGTTCCCTGGGCTGCTCTCTGGACCTGACCCTGCAGGGGAGGCACTCCGCTGGGCTGGGTAGGTGGTGTGGAGAGGGGGACAACCAGACCCAGACCCAGCAGACACACCACTCTTACGACTACATGGAGCTGAGTGGCTCAGTGGGATGTGACAGCAGTAACATGGGGGACCTTCACGTTCAACAGCAGCAGCTGAGCCAGGATCAGTTGTTACAGAGCCACCTGCACCAGTTCGAGGAGGTGACTCTGTTCCCAGAGCAGCAGGAGGTGCACCCCTGGGAGGAGATGAAGGATGAGGCGCAGGCCATCCCTCTGACTCTGGATCAGGGATTTGGGCTGTGTGAAGGATTCTTCTCAGAGATACAACCCTGGGAGAGGGCTGAGGCCTACCTGTGACAGACCAACCACTGTTACGCCAGCCCTTAACCAACGGATTCAGGCCCTAGCCACAGACCTACATGCAGACTACTATTTTGCTATATTAGCATCATAAAGTCTTATATACAAGACATTTTTTTTCCTTTATGTTTTGAGAGATCTATGCTGTATGTTTAGGACTTTATGATTATCTATGTTTCTGGTTTGATCACGGACTGGAGGACTGGAGAAGTCAATGAAGTGAAGATGCACTTCTTATGGTGTTGGGTCGTAGTCGGACCTAGTGATCAGATTTCAATGTGCTTTTCAAGTAGTCAATTGAATATATATCCATTAGAGTCTATGATAAGAGTCTGGATGGGCACAAGTCTTGAGTCATAGGCTATGGCAAAGCAGACAGAGGGACATAAATGAACTGAAATGCCTCAATCAGAATACCCAAGCATATGAGAGACAACGGGTATGTTTGAGGATAGAAAACATTTCAATTTCGAATGTGCTGCTGTCCGTCAGAATGCTATTTGCCCTTGTTCCATAAAACATGCAATGACACAGATTGAACACACCATTGTTTGACAACAATACCACAGCCTTGGCAGGCACAGACGGTTTTGTTTAAGTTTTCCATTATTTATTCTGCCAGTCTTGCATTTGATTGAACTCTGTTGATGAGTCTGTTCAGGATTAGCCTACCCATTGATATACTGAGGAAATCTAAATTCTCTCACTGGGGTGATCGGCTTCCTTTTAGTGATATTGATTTCTGATTGATTACTTCAAGTTACTATAGTTTTGAATGTTTAACAACAATGGACTGTTTTTGAAAGGATGATTCATTTGAAAAGGTATGTTGTTTGGGAAAACTGATGAACCAATGAAAGGCTTGTACTTCTTGAGTCAATTGTGAAGTTCAGCTCAAACTTGATACAATGTCTTCAATGTAATTCTGGTGTAATTCATAAATTGTTCAAAATGCAATCATGCCTCAATGCAATAAATGGCAATTTAGATGTTTTATCTGATTCGTTTGCCATACTGCATATGAAAGTCAAAGATGACAATCTAGCCTGGTCTCTCAGACTAACCTGGTCTCTCAGACTAGCCTGGTCTCTCAGACTAACTTGGTCTCTCAGACTAGCCTGGTCTCTCAACATCACATTGAACAAATACCTATATCTCTTCTGGATCTCTGCCAGCATCTTAGGTCGATGTGATGCAGGGCAAGCATAGGCACGCCACAAATGTTTCATTCACCAGTTAGAGGTTGGATCCACCATGCGCTGAAGTCCACTTGTTCAAGGTAGTAGAGGGGCATATTGGTGAAGAGTTTATAGAATATCATTTGAATAAAACCCCTCTCAGTTCAGATGCTCAACAAAGAAACCTCTTGGGGTTGGAGCAGGAAGAACGGCATTCATGTTATTTTCTATTTCCTGTTGTCTCATTTTGCCGTCTCTTGACATGCACCTTTTATTAGAGAGATTAAGGGTCTGAAATGTCTCTCAGCATTTGCGTTGATCAAGTCTCTATCCAGAGAAAATTCTCTCAAACCAGGTTGGTTTGAACTAAGAGCAACAGGTTTCAAGGATATTACGTCTGTGTAATGCATACAAACATGATTTTCTCCCTTCAAATATTTTTTTAATTGAAAAAGGCAAAAAGAAGGGGAGAGAAATGTGGATTATCCAATCCAATTGGTTCTCCCTCCCTGAGTTTGGAAGTCAGGAGTAAAGATCTCTTGGGCTCGGCCAAATAACTAGGATTCCTAGAAACAGCAGAGACTATGCACAGAGATTCTTGTTTCCATCCTCCTGAGAGCTGATAATCACTGTGGTACATCAGCTATGTACCAGCCTGTGTTATGTTCCAATCTCAAAAAAAGGGAGGGACCAGCTTCTTGTTGTTACTGTTTGACAGCGTGCCTAATATCATTGTCAAGTCAAAGGATCACAACTCTTGTTGTTGAGGGCAACATTGTCTGAGGAGAGGTGATACCCACAAAATGGGGTTCAGTCAGTGTGTGTGTGTGTGTGTGTGTGTTTCTCTGTGCGTGTATGTGTGTGTGTCTGTCTGTCTTTATGTGTGCCTGTGTGCATGTGTGTCTGTGTGTGTGTGTGTGTGTGGGGGGGGGGGGTGCGTGTGTGTTTGTAAATGTGTGTGTGTGTGAGGTTTAAATATTGGCCCCATGGTTGAATAGATAACCTTATCTCCATGGAAGCAGGTCCCTGTAGCTCTATTCACCCTGTCTCTAAGACCATTGCTGCCCAGAACGCGGACGCTGTGACTGCAGGACCAGGAACAAGACCGGCCTGTCACAATGGGCTAACGCTACGCAACTTTATCAGTGTGTGTGTATGTGTATGTGTGTGTGTGTGTGTGTGGGGGGGGGGGGGGCAAACCCTGATTAGCGGGGTGCATACAGACCCCCCGTAACACATAGAGGACAGGAGGAGGAAATCGGAGGAGTGGAGGGGAGTGGCTAAGATAGGAAATACACCTCAATGACTTTTCTAAAAGGTTGATGTTTATGTATGACATGTAAATTAGGTTCCATTTGACAATCTTTGCTCTTTTCATCCTCAGTGTACTATGTACCAGTGATACAATGGTTTACATTATGAAAGACATACAAGGTCCTTGTGTCCTAAATTGTAGTCACAGTTTGTGTGTGTGTGTGTGTTTGTGTGTGTGTGCATGCCTACTACGTGTGTCTGTCTGTTCAGAACACTTTACATGTAAAAGCTCTCAGCAGCCTGTGTTGAATGGGGTTTAGTGATGTTATTGTTAAGCTAAACCCAGAAGCTTTCCCCCAGCAATTAACCATTCTGTCTATGTGGCTATGATTAACAAGGGCTGTACCTTATACGTCCCCCCCCACACACTCACATGTACACACACATTTTAATTTGTTTTTGATGTGCTAATTTCATTTACTCATGCAACCCCCCACCACCCCCACCATGCACTCCCCTCCCCTCCCCTAAATCCCCCCCCCCCTTCCCTACCCTACCCTACCCTACCCTACCCTCTTTGTCAGGATATTGATATAATAATAATATGCCATTTAGCAGACGCTTTTATCCAAAGCGACTTACAGTCATGCGTGCATACATTTTTTTGTGTATGGGTGGTCCCGGGGATCGAACCCACTACCTTGGCGTTACAAGCGCCGTGCTCTACCAGTTGAGCTACAGAGGACCACAGATATGAAACAGATAACAGCATATAAAGAGAGGTGTAAAGTAACTCATTATAAATACTCTCCTTACTGTAATTGAGGAGCTTTTTTGAGTATTTTTCAGTAATTTGACTTCTACTGTCATTAAAGTAAGAGCTACTTTTTATTTTTACTTGAGTCGTTTTTTAATACCAGTAATTTTACTTCTACTTGAGTAAAATCTCATATATTAACAGTATTTCTATTTGAGTAGGATACTTTATTTCAGTACTTATTTCACGCATATAGATAAGGGTTATACAGAGGTAAATAACATTGTTATTACATACATTTGGGCATCACCATTCCCTAGCCCTAACCCTCCCCTCACCTGTCCCTCTTTAACCCTGCCTCTCTACATGTGGGCAGACAGTACTATAATTTGATATAAATGTATATGTTGTGTTATTCTATGTTCTATGTTATTCAGAGGATTCATTCTATAGGGGGTGAATATACAGCACAGTTCTATGTTATTCAGTGGACCAGTACACTATAGATACAGTCTATAGAAACAGTCCACATCACCAACAAACTAACATGGTCCAAGCACACCAAGACAGTCGTGAAGAGGGCACGACAAAACCTATTCCCCCTAAAGAGACTGAAAAGATTTGGCATGGGTCCTCAGATCCTCAAAAGGTTCTACAGCTGCACCATCGAGAGCATCCTGACTGGTTGCATCACTGCCTGGTATGGTAACTGCTCGGCCTCCGACTGCAAGGCACTACAGAGGGTAGTGCGTACAGCCCAGTACATCACTGGGGCCAAGCATCCAGCCATCCAGGACCTCTATACCAGGCGGTGTCAGAGGAAGGCCCTAAAAATTGTCAAAGACTCCAGCCACCTTAGTCATAGACTGTTCTCTCTGCTACCGCACGGCAAGCGGTACCAGAGCGCCAAGTCTAGGTCCAAGAGGCTTCTTAGCAGCTTCTACCCCCAAGCCATAAGACTCCTGAACATCTAATCAAATGGCTACCCAGACTATTTGCATTGCCCCCCCACCCCTCTTTTACGCTGCTGCTACTCTCTGTTTATTATCTATGCATAGTCACTTTAATAACTCTACCTACATGTACATATTACCACAATTACCTCAACTAACCTGTGCCCCCGCACATTGACTCGGTACCGGTACCTCCTGTATATAGCCTCCCTACTGTTATTTTATTTTACTGCTGCTCTTTAATTATTTGTAACTTTTATTTAGTATTATTTTATATTGTATTTTTTTGTGATTTGTTTTTGTATTCTTTCTTAAAACTGCATTGTTGGTTAAGGGCTTGTAAGTAAGCATTTCACTGTAAGGTCTACACCTGTTGTATTCGATTTGATTTGATTTGAAAACATAAATGCGGTGCATGCTTTTGTGCAGATGGACGTCCTCTTCGATCAAAGACGACCGACCACCAATTCTAAATCGACCCCTATCTATTCTAGGCACCTGAACTATAGGTTATGAGATGGAAGCAAACTAATATATTTGGGGACAATTTGAAACTATTAACATATTATTAATATACCTATCCACATTTTTTCCAGGTCTACACAAGTGCGTAGGAGTTAGGGACTGGGGGTCGATTTGGAATTGGGTGCCACCATTGAACCACTCTATAGTAGTAGTAATGGGGGTGATCTATAAGCTGCAGAACAGAGAGCTTGAAATGGGAAACAGAGAGACGGCAGTTATTTTCATGAATCTCATGAATTGCTTATGGTGCTCGCTCATTGTAGAAGACGATCCTCTCTGTCTATTCAAATTGTGTTAAGTATCAGTCCAGTCAGGCCTCATAACTAGCCT